ATCAGGAATGAAGATTCAGTGCACTCTTCAGCCTGAGGAGTTTCACATCCACGTCTTCTGTGTCCTTGAAAAATACCTTTGCAGCAGCTCTGTGGCCTTAGTCAGAGGTGTTCCTGCCCTCCCTTGGCCACAGCTGGTGCACCCTCTTCCAATGCTCTCTTCCTAGAGAAGCCTCTGGGCTTTCTCCTGAAATCCAGGCTGCCAAATGCCAGCAGTTCAGGTGCCAAAGCCCCAGGTTCCTTTAATCACATTCTGTGTTGGCCCAGACTTGTGCCACATTTCACAATCCTCTCATTGCTCCAGCAGCGTTTCTGCAGCCTGCACTCACCCACATCACTGCTCGGGCACTTCCGAGGCCTCCCTCCTTCGCTTGCCTTCCCAAAGCAATAACGAGTCTTTCCTCAAACCACCCCGATTTTACCTGTGGTCATGTATCTCCCTCAGCAAAAGATAATTGCAGATTAATTAGCATACTTAATCAGCCACAACTAACATGTAATTACACCTAGATTTAATTATTCCAGCCTGGTCTAAACACTAGTACAAGACTTCACAAAGGTCAGCTCTAAGGGAAGCAGTGTCCTCCCAGTACATTGTTGTGGCCACCCTTTGTTACTACTGACACAGCTCTCTCTTCATTTCAGTTTCTCCATTGCCTCGAGGTTTTGATATCCTACAGAATTTGGGCCGATGACACTAAATTCCCCGTAATCCCTTCCAGCTGCTTACAAACACTTGCCCTGTGAATTCAAGTGAAGCTGTGTGTCACACCCTGCCGTGAAGATCCTTGCACACAGCTGCTCTAAGGATGGCACGGGACAGGTACAGAGGCAGCCTTCGGAGAATGTGCAGTGTCTGGCATCCTCTTCACAGGTGTGTCACTGTTACAAAGTCTGAGGTGGAAGGAAGTAATTACTCAACAGAAAAGACAGCTGATTGTCTAAGGAAGAGTGTTTTATTACTACACAAGATTTGTTTCCTATCTCTGGTGTATCAGCACGCTGTAAGTATTTCACCCACTCCACCTCATCCGCTGGTGCGTCTGCCATTTACTTACTGATTTGGGCTTCCCAGGACCATCTCATGTCCGGGAAACAGCAGGGAGTTCTGCAGAGGTGTCTGGACAACGCGGAGCAGAAATCAAAGCACTCCAGTTGTTTTTAGCAACAGGCCTGTTTTTTGGATGCGATTCAGTGGGTTCAAATTAGTGACTGAATTAATCTCATTAATCTTAATGAGCACAGAGGTGAACAGAGCTCTTAAAAGCCTGGCTATTCCCTTCAAAGTACAGCTGTAGCTTGAAAAGTGATTTTGGGGCTAGTGCTATTTGATCAGAGATGCGTTTGAGTTCCAAGTCCTGCTCGCTGTTCAGATTTTTGTTTTCTTTAATTCCTCCTGGAACTGCAAAATTAACAAAGCTGGGCAATATTAAAAGCTAAATTTCATTATGCTTTCTCCATCACAGCATTGCTAACTTCTGGCTGCCCCGCTGGAAGCTGCCACGTTACATTGAACCAGAACTGATACTCAACTACTCTCTGGAGATCGAGACAGACCTTTGCAGAGCCGTCAGCCTGCGGTGCCATTGCAGCACTTCGCTGATCTTGGCCACAAGCAAAGGTGAGAACAGAGCAGAGGGCTGTCCTGGAGTCTCTCGTTAGTACAGCTCCTAACGGCTTCATGGGGTTTTCACGCTACCAATTTCAAAGCCCTTTGTGCTGAAACTGAGCCTTGTTATCTTCCTTCCTCAGATGGGTAAACCAAGGCACAGCCTGAGAAGGGGATTTTTGTTCAGGGCTGTTGAGCAATCCAGTGCTGGCACTGGGAATGAGTCAAGGCAGCCTGATTATCCCTCCACCTCCCACTTCCTTCCCAGGCTGCTGCCCCTAAACTTGATGCAAGCTGTTTGCCTTCACCCCCGCTGCAGCCAAATTGCATCTCACAAGATACAGCCACAGAGGGAACCTGTGGTGGGGCTGGTGAGCGTTTCTCAGTCCTGATCCAGTGCTTTAACTACACGATCATCCCATCTCACATCAGCTGTGGAGTCAGCAACCTGCACTCAGCCTCCCCAGAGCTGCTCAAGATGATATTCGTGTGAGCTGGTGTGAAACCGCTTACAGCCCCGCTGTGTGTCAGACTTACAACATGTAGGCATCTCACTTTGGGTAGCTCAGGTAGTACTGCCTGTCGTTCCGGTACAGGGACTGGTATCTCATCTTCTCAGGGTATTTTTCATGCTTGGTGATGTCGTAGCGACCAACACATACAGGGTTCTGGAAAGAGAAGTTCTTCCCTATCCAGAGGCAACATGGGGCAAAACCAAGTAGTGCCTTCACATTGCCAGTTGCAAAAAACACAATAATACGTGGCTTATCTTATCCAAACCAGGCCTGTATTTCAGGAGAGGGAGGAGGAGACACACTAATCAGTGCTAACCTGGCCTAACCCCTTCACAAGCAGTTGCTCTCATCACAGCAGACCACAAAGCAGCCGATCAGCTCTGCAGGCTCAAGCGTGCTTGCCAGTCACCCTCTGCTAGCTGTAGTGAAGGGCTGTCCACGTCACAACCTCCCCACCGAAATGTAATCTGTCGAGTTGCTCAGCAATTACGAAGATCTCTTCATCCCTGACCTCTTGCAAGCTGCCTGTTCCACACTCAGCTGGATAAAGGAGAGAAGCCACATGCCAGCCAGCTCCTCATCCCTAGCCAAGGTGGAGTATTTTGGACTAAAGCTTTTGCTCTGCTTTGAGCCCTGTAGGCTTTGTTCTGGTTCTCTGTGGGGAAGCTGCCAAGATGAATACAGCTCCAGGAAAGGGTACTAAGAGAAGAGCTCCTACCTGCACCGGCTCTGTAATGTGCTGAAGATGCTGCTAGAGGAAAAACTGCCTTTCAAACAGCAGAATAGGACCTTCTGGGAGGATACAAGGAGCTCCTGGCACCTTAAAGGACTCAAACCCAGCTGCCCTCATCCATGAAGTGCATCTGCTTGCTTGCAGCTGATGCAGAGCAAAGCTAAGGGGAAGGGCTGTCTGAGCATCCTTTGAAAAGGGCAAAGGCCTTTGGCTCAGAAGAGTCTTGCCCTCTCACAGAGGTGCTGGTAATGGATTGAGGATGGTCATGGAGGAAGCTCAGAGCCTTCTGAGAGGTTCCTGCATCCCTCTCACTGCTGTGTCCATTTGCTCACCTCATTCCCAGTGAAGAGGCGGTAGTACATTTTGTCGAATCTCTTGGCAGACGACTGGAAAGGAGCTTTGCTGGAGTACACTGATCTTTCAATGGGCTTTGGGTCGTATGAGCCTGGCCCCACTGTGTGCTGTGCAGAAGAAAACCTGTTATGTTTCAGCTTGCTCATAAACAAGAGCTGCACAACATCAGAGAGCGATCCATCTGTCCATCCATCCATCCATGCCCCAGGACCTAATGCATCCCCACCCCAGGCACCCGCTGCACCACCAGGGATGCCAGTGGTGCCAGCTGGTGCCTATGTCCATGCTCCCACTGACCACCTTCTTTGGGCACTGGCTGAGCGTGGCCCAGAAGATCCTCTCTGTAGGGCAGCGCGGGTTCCTCGGCAGGGTGCTGAAGCAGCCTTTCTTCTTGTTCTCCTTCAACATCAGCTCATCCACGAAACTCTTGACAGTGCCAGCACTCAGCTTGGCGTCTCTCCTCTCCTGGGACAAGGGAGCAGCATGGGAGGCTCAGATGCTGGTGGTCTCTTGGGCCACCCCATCCATCCCATGCCATGAGAGCTCAGCCCTGCCACTGCTCATGGGCATCAGCACGGTGCCTGCAACCTATTCACTCCTCAAACGCGGCTGTGTGACTGCGTTTTTCCAGGATCCAAGGGAACTCGAAGAGCAAAACCCAAGCAGGACAGCTGCTGGCGTAAGGCAGCTCTCTGTCCTTACACCTATGTGTTGGCAATGCCACAGCTCGCTTAGAAACCCCATCCGGAGCGGGATCCCAAGGCAACGCACCCCAAAGATGTGAAGGACACTCTTGACAGGCTTCGACTTGTCCTTCAAGACGCGCCGGCTGGAGCCGCACGCCCTCTGCAGCGTCTCACCGATGCTGCTCCGCAGATGGTAGGTGCCGGGTCCCAGGCCGCTGCCCTGCAGGCACGGGGGAAAGGCTACGCTCAGTGGTGGGACAGGGCCACCCGATAGGTGTGACCCCAGGGCAAGGGGCAGGACTCACCAGGACTGCCGGCAGGACACACTTTGGAGTCCTGCTGTCCATCAGCCCTCGTGTGCAGGTGGAGCGCTTGGCCCTCTCCTCCAGTCGGGCATAGGGGTTCCCCTGCAGGCCGTATGTGCCAGGTGGGGGGAAGCAGTCCTGCAGGAGATATGGGGTGACAACGGGCAGCCTCGGCAAGGGGGACAGTCAGCAGCCCAGCAGGAGGAGATGGCGCCCATGGTACCTCCAACCCTTGCAAAGGGCTGGTTCTCCAGAGGCATCAGCTTGGAGCGAAGTCCCAAGCTCCCCAGCACCGCCCGTCTCGGGGCATGCCGTACCTTGCTGGCATATCCGAACCGCGGCTCCCTGGTGTCGCAGATCCCCCGGCGGTTGGAGGACCGTGTCTCCTGCAGAAAGTCCCTGATGTTGTACGTTCCCGGGCCCAGCCTTTCCTGCTGCAGGAGGAGAAGGAGGAGGGTGAGGACAGGGCTGGGCAGTGCTGCCCACACCATTTGCCCTCAGCAGATGTGCACGGAGGGTGGATGAAACACAGCTCTTACCTGGCGTTTGCGCCTCTCCTTTATCTCCTTGAACTGGAAATGGGGCAGCCGACGGAACCAGGAGTCCTTCTCTGCTTTGGCCCAGTCAGAGACTGATGTTTTCCTCTGCAATGCAGAGGTGAGTAGGGTAGATGGACATGGGGAGTGCTGCTCCACACCCCACTCCTCTGTGTTCTGTGTTTGCTGAGCACCAGGAAAGCACCAGCAAGCTCTGGAGTGAACAGCCCACGTCCCACACCTCCACCGTGGGGTGCTCCCAGCCTGAGTACTTGGACCATCTGTGGACCAAGCTGATGGACTTTTGGACCATCATGTGCAAAAAGTCCCTGTTCAAGAAGCTGCTTCCCAGCAGGCACAGCCAGTCCAGGAGGTGAGGGCAGCTACACCGGTAAGTCCAGCTTTCCCCATACATCCAGGCAAGCCCGGCCGGTGGCCTCACCTGGCCGCCCATGTCCCAGGGGAGCACCTGCAGCCCCATGCTGGCACCTCTGGTTCCCATAACTGCAGGGGTGGCGGCAGCCGTCAACATGGCAGCCGTCACCATGGCACCCAGCACCCAGGTTCCCCTTAGAATGTCCCCTCCCAGGAGCAGACAGGGCCAACAGACAGCAGGGACAATCCTGATTGTTACATCAGCTTCCAGCCTGGCTAAAGCAACAGGTGGGGTTTCCTAGGGACAAATTATCTCTAAGCTGCTAAAAAATAGATTCTTAAAGCAACAACTCAACCTTCTAATCCCACTTTGGGCAATAAAATGATGCTTTTGGTGCCTGTGTCCTCTCTGGCATTGTATTTGCTGCATCTGTGAGCCCTGGTGGGTTTGGGCAAGGTGATGATCTTCGCAGGGGAGGCTCAGCAGTCCGCTTAATGCTTCTGACATTCCTCTGCCTGAGGAAGCCAGTTCCCTCGTTCTGGGCTGCTGTTCGGTGTGGAAAGCAGGGTTTGATGCCCAGTCCCAGCCGTGCCACCCACTCCTGTTGCAGGTTGGACAGGATCCTGCTGAGTCAGGGCAGCGAGGAGCGGAAGAGGCTGCCCGCCTTCAACAGCACCCTGGTGCTGCTTGGACAAGTTGTCAAGTCCTCCACAGAGGTAGGAGAAATTTTGGCAGGAGGGGGACTCCAACCTGCAGGATGGAGAGAGGTTGGGTCACTGAATGAATTGGTACTTGCCTGCCTTAACTTCTCCTCCCCAGCCCTGGCCCGGTGCTATCTGGGGATGCTGCTGGAAAGGAAACAAACATTTTTCACCACCCCAACGGGGATCCAGGACTATGGCTTCTCCCAGCCCCCTCGATTGCTTTGGCAAGGTGCTATAGCCAGCGCTGCTGTGCTAGGGAATGACTCGGGTCCTTCGTTCACCTTCCTCATCGTCCTCAGCGCTCTTCCTCCTGGAAATCCCTTGGGACAAAGAAATGAGGCCCCAGACAGAGCCAATATCTTCATCCTGCCATGTACAGAGCAGAGCCCTCCCAGGCCACATGTTTGGCCTTGATGGCATAAATCAGCCCTCGGCAAAGCAGCAGGCGAGCAGTTCAGTGAAAGGCTGCAGGGGCAGCAGTACCTTTATTAGATTCCCCTAGCACAGCTGGAAAAAATAAGGAGCACAGACAGGCTTTCAGGCACATAACCCCAAAACGTAGCCCCGCATTCAGGCCTGTCTGCTGATTTAATGAGAGATACCAGCTTTCCCCACAGACCACATCTCTTGTATGGCCTTAAACCCTCCCCGCTAAAACACCGCCCCGGCGAATCAATCCAAGATGTTTTTGTCTCTTTGATCAGCACAGCAGGCAATAAGTCACTGACGGAAACGTGTTTGGCTTTTGTGGCTCGAAAAGGCAACAGAAAGAGCGAAAGTCAACCCTGAACCGCCTGGAGAAAACCTCCCGCTTCCTGGGCAAGCAGGAGATGACCAAAGGGATCTGCAATGTGGCACTGGACGTTCTGCGGGACCTGCGGCTCAGCTGGCAGGCGTACTGCACCCAGGCACGGGGAGGTCCCCGCTGGAGCCAGGGCAGCAGGGCCCTGTCCTGCTCCTCCAGCCCCCGAGACAGCCGTGGCGCTGCTCCAACAGCTTTTGCACTGTGTGTTTAATTGTGGTGAGAACCACGCAGGGAGAAGCACGTACCTGACAAAACTGGCGCAGGCTGATCTGGGGGCAAAGCTGCTACCTGGCGGCCAGGAAAATCTGCACTAAATCCTGGCTCCGACACAGAGCTGCCAGCTCCCTCTGGGACTGACTTCCCCAGCTCCCTCTGGGACTGACTTCCCCAGCTCCCTCTGGGCAATGTTCCATGGGACACTGAGTCACCTTGCAGAACTGGCTATTTAATGACTTTAATGCTTCTAAATCACTCAGAAGCATGGAAAATGTGCCCTTTAATCACTTGATTTTGCCCATTTCTAGCCCCCTACAAACAGCAGCGCACACCAGTGGGTATTTCCCATTACAGAAGAATCACATCCAGTCCCATTTTTAAATAAAATAAGGATTCATTCTTACTTCTTTGTATTTAAACAGGATTATTTAACTTCTCATAAAACGAGGCTCAGTGAAGTGAAATCTCCCCCTTTAGTGCAGTACTTTAATACATGCTCACAACTGCTCTTCAGAGGTGTTTAATTTCCTCTGAGCTTCAGCTAGAGGCTGGCGGCTGAAAAGTGCAGCATGGAAGTGGTCGCTGGGTGCCGGGCAATGTCTGTCTGCTAGGTTTGAACAGAGAAAGCTGAAATCACAACAGAAAAAGGCTTTTGATTTCTCAGCCCTAAGGTTAGACCACAAAGATGGCTGCCCCTCCCTCCTGTCGGGCTTGGTTCCAGCTATGTGTGAGGGAGACAGTTAGGTGCAGCAGGGCTGAAGGCAGGAACAGGGAAGGAAGGGATAGCTACAGTTAACAAGGGAATTCAGAGAGCTTAAGGGAGTGAAGAGCCACCCAGAGCCAGGCAGTGGGAGACACCAGACACAAGGTTGGGAGCAGGACATGCGCTCCACGTGTGGACATGGTGCTGAGAGCAGGTCAGCCACACTCTGCTCCTCTCTCCAGAAGCAGCCATTGGTCTCTTTTTCCTCTCAACAGCCCCATTTTGTCCTGCCTCCTCCTCTATTTACTACTTTTTACTATGGATCACAGAATCACAGAATCCCAGACCGTTAGGGATTGGAAGGGACCTCCAAAGCTCATCCAGTCCAATCCCCCTGCCGGAGCAGGAACACCCAGATGAGGTTACACAGGAAGGCGTCCAGGCGGGTTTTGAATGTCTGCAGAGAAGGAGACTCCACAACCTCTCTGGGCAGCCTGGGCCAGGGCTCTGTCACCCTCACTGAGAAGTTTCTTCTCCAATTTCAGTGGAACCTCCTGTGTTCCAGTTTGTGTCCGTTACCCCTTGTCCTATCATTGTTTGTCACTGAGAAGAGCCTGGCTCCATCCTCGTGACACTCACCCTTTAAATATTTATAACCATGAATGAGGTCTCCCCTCAGTCTCCTCTTCTGCAAACTAAAGAGCCCCAGCTCCCTCAGCCGCTCCTCATAAGGGAGATGCTCCACTCCCTTGATCATCTTTGTAGCCCTACACTGGACTCTCTCCAGCAGTTCCTGTCCTTCTTGAACTGAGGGCCCAGAACTGGACACAATATTCCAGATGCGGTCTCAGTCGTGCAAGAACTGTTCCTAGCGGATCAAACTCCTGGAGCCATGGAGTTGGAGCTGGATTATACCACACCTGAACTGCAGCTCTTCAGGGGCAAATGCCGGTGACTTAACAACCAGGAAACACTCACCATCCAGTGCTCCAAGCGGGCCATTGAACTGGACGATGTAGGCTCCACAGAGAGCCCCTGGGGTGAGTGCGTCCCC